GAATAGAAAAATTAATCCCATCTCTCTCTCTCTCTCTCTCTCTCTCTCTCTCTCTCTCTCTCTCTCTCTCTCTGGCATGCACACATCCCAGTGAAATGCAATAATCATCTCCTTTTACGTATACAAATATCCATATCAAATGTAGGAACTTTTCTTATCACTTGGGCATACACTCAATTAAATGGGACAATAAATCTTCTTTAAAACATTGACATGGTCCAGTTAAACAAGGGGCCAAACTCTGCTTCTACATGCACATATATTTTAGTTAAATGAGAGAACATATTTCCTTTTACTTATACATATATTTCATTTAAATTTAATTTTACAAACATATAAATTCCAGTTAAATGTGTGTGGGGAAAAGGGGGGGGGGGGATCTTTTCTATATAAGTTGAATGAAGAGGTGGGGGGGGGGGGGGATCTCCTTTTTACAGTAGATATAAATTGTAGTTATATGGGAAACTTTCCTTTTTCTTATACATATATTCCAGTTAAATGGGGGGGGGGGGGGGGGAATCTCTCATTCTTTCTGTGCAAGTTAAATTGGGAAACAAATCTTTATTATACTTATAAATTCTAGTTAAATGAAGAACATACCTCCTTTTACTTATATACATTCTAGTTAAATAGTGAAAATTATATCCTTTTACATACATATATTCCTGTTACATGGGAAAACATATATTCTTTACATGCACATATATAAACAAACTAAGAAAAAAATATTTTATTAACAATATTTTTTTTCTAGATAAACAAAAACGCGTGTTAAATGAGTTGGGGAAGGGGATGCATCTGCATTTATATGCACAAATATTGTGGTGAAATTAAATGGTATGATGGAATAACTAACGTAGAGCTTTGGGAGAGAACTAAACAGGCTCCAGTGGACCAAGAGGTGAGGAAAAGATGCTGGTGTGGATTAGGAAACGCACTGAGAAAACAGGAGAACAGCATAACTAGAATGTCTTTGCACTGAAACCCGCAGGGGCATAGGAATAAAGGAAGGCCCAAAACACACACAGAGAAGTGAGCTGGAGAAGGAAGTTAGAAAGATGGGGAGAGCTCCATGTAATGGCGAAGGATAGAATGACCTGGCGTGAGTTGGTTGAGGGCCTATGCTCCATTGGGGGATAGAAAGGCAGAAGAAGAGAAGAAAATATTGTGGTGAAATAGAAAATGATTCCCTTCACTCAGTCAGTCAAAGAGAGAGAGAGACACACACACACACACACGCACGCAAGTTAAACAGAAGAAAATATCCTCTTTTAGACTTAATATATTTCAGTCAAGTGGGAGAACATGTCTTCTTTTGCATATGCACATTCATTGAAGGGCAATGTCATTTAAAAAAAAAAAAAAATTTGCATATGCTGACCAAAATAGTATAATGTAGATCACGAATAAGTAAAAGAAACAGGAATTAATTTATTTAACATGAACCGATTGGACCCATTTTTAAAGGCATGAAAAAAGCTGCACAGTAATATATTACTGAGAATGAAATTTATGGCAAGAAAGAAAGAAGTTAGCAGTAGCTGACTGTACAAGCAAAACTTTACATAACTTTTCTGAGCTTATATTTTTTTTAATAAATAGAGTTTAGCTGTTTTGTTATGAATGCAAATGACTCTTTATCCAGGTCATAGATTTATCAATAGTGTTGTTAGCAGATATTACACAAGTTAGAGGAAAATGTTGAAAATGAAGTGAATAAAATGGTCAGAACTTGTGTTTTAAGAGAAAGGAATAAAAAAAGAATAGCCTTGCAATTAAAATTGTTTGTTAATCAAGAATGTATTTAAAAGTCAGGATAACACAGTAGTATCCATACTGGTGATACCAGGTGAGGCGTGCAGTCATGTTTGAAGAAGGCGTTGAGAAAAGGATTATTCCCACTGACCTCTTTATTAGGGCACCATTTAGTCATGAAAATAATTCACAGCTAGCACTGTTTTCTAATATGCCATAATGGCACTGGAAATGTATTCTTTAGAACAGCTACAGTAATTAACCTGGAAAACAATTAATCAAAGTCAAAAAGAAGGATTGTAAAGAAAAAAATACATGGTAACCATAATTTTAAATGTAACTAAAGTTTAATGTCAAGAGGGCTGACCTCACTGAACTAGATTTTATCCCCACATTGCACGGCACTAACAGAATTGCTAGTTGCCTGCTGGAAGCTTTGCATAAAGTAGAAACAGTTTCAACTCAGTTATCACAAACATAAGAAGAGACAGTAATCATTTTGGAAACAAAAGAAGATACTTGAAAGTGATAATTCCCAAGTATTTCTGTAAAAATTACATTCATGAATCAAATGATAAGTCTGATCTCTGTTATTTCCCATTTAAAGTGATGATTTCCTTTGACAAATTTCAAACTACATTTAATTACCAATGGTTTCTTGCAAAAACTGGATCTCAAAGCCATGAATTACTAAAGACAAGGTACACCTAATCATACCCACACACAACAACAAAAGAGATTATCTGAAAGAAAACGCCCAGAAAAAAACCCAAATCTGATCACCCATTTCTGTCGATATGTTCTCTAAAACTGAAATTTTATCTTATGATTTTGATGAGCGATCATGCAACAACTGTGGATCTCAGTACACTTTCTTCTGTCTGATATTCTCAACATTCTTCTAAGAATCAAAACTTCATTGCTTTAGAATTTTTGACTATTTCATTCAACCTCCCTCACAAAACAAAATGCTTTCAAATTTTTAGATATGATTGTAGAGTAAATCAGAAACTTTTCCAAAATCAAGGAACAATTTTACAAAATGCATGATGCATTTGCTGAAAACTCAGACAGCATAAAATGTGGAAACCACTGCTTGAAAAACTCCTCCCCTTCCCCCCCCCCCCCCTCCCCCCCCCCCCCCCCCCCCCCCCCCTCAAAAAAAAAAAAAAAAAAAAAAAAAAAAGCTGCAGCATAAAATAAGTTATTCTGTTAAAAATTATGAATTATTAGTCATCAAGTGATCTAAAAGAAACAACTGTTATTAATGAAATGACTGTACTTGTCTGAGTACTGATTTACAGAGGAAATAATATTCATAAAGACATACAGAGTGAAAAAAATAAAACAACATTACAAAAAAATTACTAATGAACCTTTCCATGCCAGGTGCATGGTGCACTGGACTCAAAATTGTTATAGACCAACTGGCACTCAGTGAGTGGTGTGGTCAACATCACGCCAGCCGGGTTTACGTCCAAGACTATTTTAGACTGGGTCAACCTGGGAGCCAAGAACAATTTTAAAATAATCCATCCCAGAGCAGATTCTAAAGATCTTTGCACAAGTATGCAAGCCCTGCACTACCACGGCTCTCATAGAACATAAAACAGTTTTCTTTAAAAATGCTTCAGCGCTAGACACAATGCGAGAGGAGCAGTGAAAAAGTTCCGCAATTCGTTCTGCAGGAGCAAAGATGGAAACTGGTGTGAATTTTAGTCTACTGCTGCATGTGTCTCCAGTTCAGTAATCTATCTTTGGTCACTTGAAAATAAATGACATCCATAAAGATGCAGTATTCTTGTGCGGAAACAGGAAGTCAATCTGTGTTGTCCAATCAATATCGTGGATTGAGCATACTGTTATATCCATACTACTGGGCAGGCACAATCAGACCTTGATTACTGAACTGGAGATAAGTGTCCAGATCCTGACAGAGGAGTTGTACAATCAAGGCATCAGGAAGATGAAGAAGAAGAAGAGAGAAAGGCATCACCCTGAAAGGAGAAAACTGAGAAAGGATTAAAGTTCATGTCAATTTTCAGGCATGCCTTGTCTAAAATGTAAAAATATTTTTTTTTAAAACCATATCTTGGTGTATGTTGCAAAAACCAAAACTAGAAATGCAAATACTTTTTATAATGAACCCTCATATGTTCGGCATGATGCTGGCCACATCAGGCATCAAGTGCCGAATGGTCCATAGAATAATGGTCCATAGAATAATGGTCCATTGAATATAGATCTAGTCCTAAATTACCCAATATACCTGGAGACGTGTAAAAAGTTCCTTTCCTCTCCTTTTTTTTAAACCTCATAAATTTCAAAACCGTCGTATTACCCCTCGTAAAATGCAAAACATTTTTTTTACATCCTCCTGTATGTTGTAAAAAACACAACTCAAAAAAGAAAAACTTTGTTTTTTTAACCACCCTCTAAATTCTGCAGTAACAAAAGCAAAATGTAAAACTTGTTTACCACACCTGGTATGTTGCAAAAGAGAAGCAAAATATAAAGGATTATATGGGACTGTAATAAAGGCAACGAACAACAAGGAAGTAGATTACTTTGTACATGCAGGTTTAGTATGTGCTAAAAGTACAAGCAAGTGATCTTTAAGGCTTCAAAAAGTGTAGGGTGAATCAAGAATGGCTGTTCCTCAGCTGATGTAAGTATTAAAATTGGAAGTAAGTGAGAAATAACAGCGCAGTTTCAGCAAGCACAGGGTTAATCAAAGAGATGCTTATCCCTCTGCTGGTGCAGTATGCGTTAATACTGAAAGTAAGAGAGCTATCACTGAGGCTTCAGTAAGCATAGTGTTAATCAAGAATGGTTAATCCCTTTTCTAATGTTACTATGTACCTTAACTGCAAGTAAGTGAGATGTAACATTGCAGCTCCAGCAAGCATGGGGTTAATTAAGAATGGTTGATCCACGGCTGATGCAAGTGTTAAAATAGCAAGCAAATGAGATATTATCAGTACATCTTCAGCAAGCATGGAGCTGATCAAGAACTGTTCATCCACGGCTGATGTAAGTGTTAAAATTGCAAGTAAATGAGGTATAACAGTGCAACTCCAGCAAGCATGGGGTTAGTCAACAATAGCTGATCCCTTCACTTGTGCAGTATGTGTTAATATTGAAAGTTAGTAAGCTATCACTGAGGCTTCAGCAAGCAGTGGAGGAGTTAATCAAGAATGGCTGATCCCTCAGCTAATGATTACAGGCCCTGAGTGATGCACAACCCCACCTCCATGGCAGCTCCTGGCAGTTTTTCTCCTTGAAGAATACTGTGCAATCAAACGCTGACCAAATGGATGGCAGATGAAGAAACCAACACCTGAACCTGTGTAGCAAAGTTCAGAGTCAGAGAAAAATCACAATGAATTCACCTTACATTATTGTTTTCAAAATAATAAAGGACTCTTTTTACATCATTCGGCACTTGATGCGGGATGTGGTAAGCATCATACCGAACATATGAGGGTTCATTGTAAAAAGTATTTCTATCACTGTAAATATAAAATAAAAAGTAAAGATCCCTTTCACGCCTTTAGACGTATCGGGCATATGGGAACAGCGCCCATATTTTTACAGACCATCAGCACTCGGTGGGTTATGTGGTCAGCATTACGCCGGCTGTCTTTAGTGCTTATATAAGTTACTAACATGATTTTACATTAGCTACTTTTGCTTTTTCTGCGTTTATTTCCATGCTATACTTGGTTGATGTTTCACTGAGCAGATTTACAAGCTCGACTAGCTCTTGTTCTTCCCTGGCCAACCCATAGATGTCATCTGCAAACCTTAAGTTTGTTATAGTTCTACCTCCTAATCTGGAAGCAGCCCTGTTGGACCCCTGCTGTTGTTCGAAACTAACTTCCTATTTGTCCGTTCAGTTTGACAGCACTACTGACCTCGACATAAAGCTGTTCTACTTATGAGGGTTTTACCCATGTTGTGTGTCCCAGAGTGCTGCATGCCATACTCTTATCAAAGGCCTTTATAAAATCAATGAACACATGATATAGATGTTTTTGGAGCTGGTGTCATTGCTCTGATAATACGCGCAGATTAAATATCTGTTTGACAGTGCTTCTTCCAGCATGGATACCCACCTGTTCCTCTGCTATGATCTTTTCTGTGTGCGGCTTTAACCTGTTTAGGAGTAACTTGAGCATGACTTCACTGGGATGACTGATAAGACTTATAGTCCTATACTTTTGACACTGTTGTAAATTCCCCTTTTTTTTTTTTTGGAATGGTAAAGATGAGTGATTTGGTCCAAAGAGATGGTCATTCACTAGTATCCAAAATTTTGTTACAGATTTCAGTGAGGATGTCGATAACGTCCTCTCCCCCGCCTTAAAGATCTCAGCTGGGATGTTTTCAATTCCCCAGCTTTTCCATTTTTTCCATGGCCAATTTTACTTTATCCTGGAGTACTGGGAAACTGCTATCTTCCTGTGCTTGGTTGTTGTCAAGGATGTCGGTGCTGCTATTTGTTTGTTCATTATACAGTCATGAACAGTATTCAGACCATCTATTTATGATGTCATTACTTTCTTTGAGTAGGTTACCTTGTGTGCCTTAGATGGCATTACTTCTTGATTTTCTCTCTCAACTGATTATTTAATAATGCTAAAAGCTTTTTTACTATTGTTCAACTTCTTCTATTTCTGCATATCTGATTTCTATCCAATTTTCTTTTGCCTCTCACATGTCTTTTCTAATCTGAATATTTATCTCTCTATACTTGTTAAATAAGTTACTAAGATGGTTGTATATAAGTTACTAAGATGATTTTACATAAGTTACTAAGATGATTTTACATAAGCTACTAACGTGATTTTACATACGCTATTAACATGTTTTTACATAAGCTCCTAACGTGATTTTTAATATAAGTTACTAACATGATTTTAAATGAGTTACTAACATGATTTTCAATAAGTTACTAACATGAGTTTACATGAGCTACTTACATGATTTTACATAAGTTACTAACATGATTTTACATAAGTTTCTAAGATGATTGTATATAAGTTACTAAGATGATTTTACATAAGTTACTAACAATATTTTACACAAGTTACTAACATGATTGTACATTAAGTTACTAGCATGAATTTACATACGCTATTAACATGATTTTACATACGCTATTAACATGATTTTACATAAGCTACTAACATGATTTTACATAAGCTACTAAACATGATTTTTAATATAAGTTACTAACATGATTTTAAATGCGTTACTAACATGATTTTAGATAAATTACAAATATTTCTCACTAATCTAGCCCAGAGTGCTGTGATATCAATTCTTGACTCCACTTAACTCAACTCTCACTAATCTAGCTCCGAGTGCTGTGATGTCAATTCTTGACTCCACTCAACTCTCACTAATCTAGCTCCGAGTGCTGTGATGTCAATTCTTGACTCCACTCAACTCTTGCTAATCTAGCCCCGAGTGATGTGATGTCAATTCTTGACTCCACTCAACTCTCGCTAATCTAGCCCCGAGTGCTGTGATGTCAATTCTTGACTCCACTCAACTCTCACTAATCTAGCCCCGAGTGCTGTGATGTCAATTCTTGACTCCACTCAACTCCCGCTAATCTAGCCCCGAGTGCTGTGATGTCAATTCTTGACTCCACTCAACTCTCACTAATCTAGCCCCGAGTGCTGTGATGTCAATTCTTGACTCCACTCAACTCTCACTAATCTAGCTCCGAGTGCTGTGATGTCAATTCTTGACTCCACTCAACTCTTGCTAATCTAGCCCCGAGTGATGTGATGTCAATTCTTGACTCCACTCAACTCTCGCTAATCTAGCCCCGAGTGCTGTGATGTCAATTCTTGACTCCACTCAACTCTCACTAATCTAGCCCCGAGTGCTGTGATGTCAATTCTTGACTCCACTCAACTCCCGCTAATCTAGCCCCGAGTGCTGTGATGTCAATTCTTGACTCCACTCAACTCTCACTAATCTAGCCCCGAGTGCTGTGATGTCAATTCTTGACTCCACTTAACTCAACTCTCACTAATCTAGCTCCGAGTGCTGTGATGTCACTTCTTGACTCCACTCAACTCCCACTAATCTAGCCCCGAGTGCTGTGATGTCAATTCTTGACTCCACTCAACTCTCACTAATCTAGCCCCGAGTGCTGTGATGTCAATTCTTGACACCACTCAACTCAACTCTAACTAATCTAGCTCCGAGTGCTGTGATGTCAATTCTTGACTCCACTCAACTCCCGCTAATCTAGCCCCGAGTGCTGTGATGTCAATTCTTGACTCCACTCAACTCTCACTAATCTAGCTCCGAGTGCTGTGATGTCACTTCTTGACTCCACTCAACTCCCACTAATCTAGCCCCGAGTGCTGTGATGTCAATTCTTGACTCCACTCAACTCTCACTAATCTAGCCCCGAGTGCTGTGATGTAAATTCTTGACACCACTTAACTCAACTCTAACTAATCTAGCTCCGAGTGCTGTGATGTCAATTCTTGACTCCACTTAACTCTCACTAATCTAAAAATGTAAAAGACTCTTTTTCGTGCCTTCAGGCATAATGGGCACACAGGGCTAGACATATATTTTGCAGACTAATCAGCAATACGATCAACATCTTGTTGGCTATCTTCACCTCCCAGGACTTCACCTGGTAGCCATTTAAGCATCCGGCTACGTCAGAATCTGGATCCATTGAATCCTCAACGTGCCGTCTGGACGCTACACCACGGTTAATCTAATACTTTACAAATATTTAAACTTGCGTACACAAGTTTTAAACAGTTTTGGGGCTATCCTCCGAATAACGGTCCTAAATTATCGAGGCGGAAAATATACCCTGACAGGGCCTCAGTCACGTGTCGATTGCGCACTTCCGGGGACTATAACGCCACCGCCGAATTGAGCACTTCCAGCAACTTCCGCGAGTATCCCCCACGTCGCTCAAGCAGCGCGCATTGAGGCTAAACTAGATGGCTAGGACTCACAAGCAAATAAAATGAAGGAAGCTGCAGGAGATGCGGTAGCTGCTACTCGTGAGTCCTAGCCATCTAGTTAAGCCCCAATTCACGCCACGTGAGCGGCGTGGGGGATACTCTCGGCGGTGGCGGAAGTTGCTGGAAGTTAGCAATTCGGCGGTGGCAGAAGTCGCCGGAAGCGCGCAATTTAAGACCACGGAAGTGCGCAATTGACATGTGACTAAGGCCCTGTTATGGTAGATTTTCCGCCTATTTAATTTAGGACCGTTATTCGGAGGATAGCCCAGTTTTTGTCACCGAGAAAGTAATACTGTCATAATATTTATGTTGCAGTTATTGTTTCTACATGTAGTGTAAAAGTCTTAGGAGTTGAAATAATGAAGAAAAATATCTACAGCACTGACATACTCACCCAACAGAACTGCTAGAAGAAACCAAACACTGTATGTCATAACCAGCAACATGAGAATATATCCATACAAAAAGTTAAACATGTGCAGCACCGATTCCAACAGAAACAGTACAGTCCTGCAAAAAATGATAATACTTAATTAAGTGTTTTTAAGCAATTTAAGTGATACTAACTGTTCATTTTTCTTTTCATTAATCTTCTTCTTTGTGTTTGCTGGCTGTAAACTCCAGCGGAAGGTTCTGGTTGTTCATCCACCTCTGGACTGCAGTCCTTTTTTCAGAATCTGAGTGTTGCGTGTGCATCCATTTTACAGATCTAACTCATTTGTATGCAGACTGCTGGTTCCGTGCCTCTCAGGCAGATGCACTCCGACTTCGAAGGAAGCTCCAAATCAGTCGACTCTCACGACATGCTTTTGAGTAGGCAGTGGGTCTATTCTTGTTTTCCCTATAATAGGGCCCCTGAACCAACACGGTGATTTTCATTAATGATGCAGTTGCTCCCTTATATGTCAAATAGAACACAGTCGATTCTTCAGTGCTGTGATGTGTTGAGTTTAAAATTGACATCACAGCACTAGGATACCTGTAAACATGTTGTCCTTATCTTCAGCAGCCAGGTCAGAGTTCCAGTTCCAACAGTACCAGTAGCAGTCTGACCATTCTGTTCTATACTTTTCACATTTTTCTTTCGGATATTTCCTCCAGGTGATGCCGGTGTGTTGGGAAATGAGCAGGCAGATAGATGGCAGGTTCTGCACCACTTGGTGGTGAACTCATGTATGACATGCTGGATGTTGTGAGGGCCTTTTGGGAGCAAGTGAACAGTTCTAAGGCACATATATATCATTACAGTCTGAGGAGAATGGCACTGCGAGGAGATACAAGGGGATCTAGCCAACACTCAACACTCAGGGGAAAGGCGAGATGGATATACAATCAGACAGTGACTGGTACCATCAGAATTTTCAATTTTTGCTTGCTGCTGAAGATGGGGATGGAGCGCTTATGGGGGTGTCCCGAGTGCTGTGATGTCAATTCCCAATTCAACATTGAAAATACTGTGCAATTGTTGTTTTTAAATATCAACAAAACCAGCTGGCTCGGCACCGCAGCCTCTCTTATGAGTGCTTGCTGCAGGGTTCCTCTTGTAGATTATCGCTTCCTCAATTCAACTGTTTCCCATTTCACTGCCTGTTCTGTCTGATCTGATTTAGAATGTAGCCAATATACTGCTATCTTTTTTTTCTTAAATTAGTTTCAGTAGTTGAAATTCAAATACAAACGAAAGAAGAAGAAGAAATACAAACATGTTATTTCAATTTATACAAATTATTTATTTTATTTCCTAATATATTCCACTGTCAGTAAATTAGGCATAAGCAAAAGATGCCAGCAATAATTAAACAATTAAAATTAATCCACTATTCTGAATGATGACCTTTACCTAAAGAAACCATATATGATGAAAAGCAAATTTTAAAGTCACTTTTGTTGTCACTGGCAGACTGTCCCAACAGAATCAACATTTACCATTCTTTCTTCATTTTCAATATACTGGTATTTATTATTATTTACCAATTATTTGAGTAGTAAAAAGAAAATATAAAAGAATAAACGTATAAACTATTGACCTTTAACCCTTTAGCCTGGAATACTGCTAACCTGGCACACTTGTTCTTGATCCCTAAAAGTGCCACTTACCTGGCATGCTGCAGTGACTTTTTAAAAAAAACCTTTTTTTTTTTTTTTTACCCCACCAGGACATCACACAAGCGATAAACACCCGATGACACAAAGTGCCACCATGTGGATGAGGATCAACCGTGGAGAGGTCCCAGAAACTGCTTTCAGCCATTAGACCATATTTATGGCCGGGCTATACTGCGGCCCCTGGCAAGAGCTAGAGTAGGGCTTAAATTACCAAAAAAACTGCATCCAAGAAAGGGATGACAAGGTTATTGCAGTGACTTGTGCCAGAGAAGCTTAATTAACAGCACAAGTTTGTTTGCAAAGTGTTTAGGAGGCCCGGAATATGATTATATTTATTAAAATTAGGCAAGGGTAAGGAGGGGGGGGGGGGGGGGGGGGGGGGGGGAAGCTTTTTGTAAAGGTCATTATGATGTCAAAATTTACCTTGACTTAGGACTGGCATAGTGAGGACGTCAAAGGGTCAATAATGAGTCACAGTATATTTTTATTTTAAGCACAAGAGAGCGAAATCTATTTAATTGTCCTCTAGTCATATTCATTTATGTCCACATTAAAAAAAATATTTTGTTGATCTAGAAATCATAAACTGTAAACTCTTTGGCTTGGTACTATGGATATCGAAACTCTTTAGCCACAATTCCATGATATAATTTGTAAGTCTAAAAGTCTGTGGCTTTTCTGTCCACCCACGAGGGTAAACTCGGACCACAAAGTGTTTGTCACCCGGTCGCCACTCAGCTGGTTTAACCAACTGAGCTAGCGCACCAGGCCATGTTAAAAATATAAACTGATAAATTTTAAAAAATACATTCTGACTGACCAGTGTAAAGTAGTTGTCTTCTAAGGATCAAGGGTGAAAGGGATAATGATCTCTTTTATCCTTTCTCAGCTTTCCTGTATTGGCTGTGATCTTTTATGACAGTTACAACACCATTTGTTTCACGATTTTCAGATATATTCCTTTATTAATTTGTGTAATTTCTGTGTGTAAGTGCATGTATGTATGTGTGTGGGGGTCTTTGCGTTAGTAAATGCATGTATGTGTGTGTGGGGGAGGGGTCTATGTGTTAATTAACAGTCATTTTATTTAAAAACAATTCTAGATACTAACAACAATGAATCTGACACAGGAATCATAGCTTCTGAACCACACAGATATAATATATGCCTATGCAATGTTCAAGTCATATAGGCAAGTAAATCTATTAAGAACCGTTTAATCAAAATGCTACTAGCACCATTAGTATCAGAACTCTTCACTGGCTGCTGAAGATGGGGACGGAGAACTTATGGGAATTCCCCGAGTGCTGTGATGTCGGTTCTTGAATCAGCTCAACTTAACTCATCTATTCAAAGATCACAGTGATAATAACAAAGCATTAAAACAATACTACTAACTTCCTGATGCGACTGTTCTCAGTATTGACAGGTATCCTGAGTGAGGACAGCAAATCTGCTTGGGACGAGGTCACCTCAGACTCCTGGTCATGATCTTCCATATGTCCACTGCCTGACAGTGAACTTCTGTTATAAATGACCAGAGAAGACTTGGCAATCTTCAGGCCTTCAAAGATGACAGTTATGGTACAGATAATGATGGCGGCTATGAGCACGTCTGCAAAACAATGAGGAGACAAGTAGAATAATTAGCAAATCATACCAACAAAACATATTATGACAGGCGACCATTTTTTAGATTCCAGTTCATTCTATGCAAAACAAACTATAATGAAAGTTTGAGTGGCCTAAAATGACATGAAGGGAAAGATCAAAGCATTGATGGGTAGTTTTACAATGCTATCATCATCATACACTTTTACTTCTGCTGCTAAGAGTGATGGAGAGGAAAAGTTTGTGGTCTAGAGCTTGATAAACGGCAGTGGCCACTGTCATTCTGTGTGGATGTACTATGTAAAAGATTATCACTATATCCAATCAACACTACATTACAGAATTATGTGACTAGCTCTTTCCCTCGTAAGTATGTGAAACCCTAGGACAGGAGTGTGGCGGAACATGAGTTTTTCAGTGTCAAGGTCAAACTCACCAATTCTTCTGCCCCAGAATACGAGGTGAAATCCATAATGCAAGCTGGAGAGACGAGAACTCTCGGTGTTAACGACAACATCTAGATAACATTTAAATGGATTAGGTCACGTTAAGACTGCTGAAGGGAGTCGCCGTGGCTGAGCGGCTAGGCGCTCGTCACAGATCGGAAGGTCGTGGGTTCGCTCCCTGACGGAGCTGGACTTATTTCAAAACTGACCTTGGCTGCCAGGTCAACCCAGCCTTGAGTGGGTACCGGGTGCAGTCCCGGGAAAGTAAAGGCGGCAGGCGTGATGCTGACCACATCACCCATCTTGTGCCGATTAGTCCCTAAAAATATAGGTCTAGCCCTAAATGCCCTATACGCCTAAAAGGCGTGGAAAAGGGTCCTTTACTTAACTTTTTTTTAAGACTGTTGAAGAAGACTTAAGCCAGTTGACAAGGCACTTAATGATCATGGACTGTTGTATCATGGTTGAAAGAAGCCCCATTTTTCACTGCTGGCATAAATTTAAAACAAAGTAGTATCATATACTTCCCCATTAACAAAACAAACAACATCAATTTGAAACTGATAGCATGATTTTTGGAGGGCTGGAATGAATTAATTTTAAAAGAAAATAGTTTCAGGATAACGAAATATAGTTTCAGGATAAGAGTTAAGCAGCTAATGTCTTAACCCTCCTGCCCTGGGAAGATCAACAAAATTGGGTCATGAACACACAGGAATTCATGAACAAAATTGGGTCATGAACACACAGGAATTCATGAACAAAATTGGGTCATGAACACACAGGAATTCATGAACAAAATTGGGTCATGAACACACAGGAATTCATGAACAAAAATTGGGTCATGACCACACATGAATTCATGAAAAAAATTGGTCTTGACCACACAGGAATTCATGAACAAAATTGGGTCATGAACACACAGAAATTCATGAACAAATTTGGGTCATGAACACACAGGAATTCATGAACAAAAATGGATCATGAACACACATGAATTCATGAACAAAAATGGGTCATGACCACACAGGAATTCATGAACAAAATTGGGTCATGAACACACAGGAATTCATGAACAAAAATGGGTCATGAACACACAGGAATTCATGAACAAAATTGGGTCATGAACATGCAGGAATTCATGAACAAAAATGGGTCATGAACACACAGGAATTCATGAACAAAATTGGGTCATGAACACGCAGGAATTCATGAAAAAAATGGGTCATGAACACACAGGAATTCATGAACAAAATTGGGTCATGACCACACAGGAATTCATTAACAAAATTACTTTAAAAAAAATTTATTGTTACACAGGGCAATAATAAATTCATTTAAAAAGAAATGTATTTGTCACATTTTTAGTTTTGTTTCCCAAAATATATAAACAAATATGAAAGGTGTAATAAATTAACATGAAAACAGAGTGAAGCATTAAATGAAATACATTCCCCACAGCCTTAAAAAAAAAACATATGTATTGGGTGACCTATGTTGCAACCTCCTGACCTGTTTCATTGAGGCTTGCAGGGAAATTTGGCATAAACTAGGCTTTAATATAGCTATTTGCCTATTAGGAAAACCCCTATAAATTCTTGTGTTTATGTAATGTACTCATATGCGTGAAAGGGAGAGATGGCGTCTGTGGCTTAGGCGTTGCGAACGTATTCGTAATGTCGGGGTGCCGGGTTCAATCCCAGCTGAAGGCGATTTATCTTGCGTTGTTTTCGACAGTGGTAAAGAGAGCCCAAGATGTGTGAATGAGGAATTAAGTGTGGATCCGGCAAGGAAAGATGGATGAGAGGAAAAGAATCACGTGTGTATAATCAGTGTGCTACAGGTAGCATTTTCACCTAAAAACATTTGCTGTGGGAGACAGACCATCTATGGGTATTCAGGGTGTGCTATGATGTTGATTTTTACATCAGTAATCCCTAGGTTGTAACTGGAAAGCAGCCATAGTGGTAAAGTGTTTAATGTGTGCTTTGCCTGATAAGACAGTGATTTCAGTTCAAACTCCAGAGTTGGCAGAATGTTTCCCAAATGAACTGTTGTGAGATTAACACAGCCTCAGACAAATTGGTACCAGACAGTTTCTAGAAGTATTTAGAAGGAAAAGTGTCAAGGGACGAAACAGGCGACCCACATCTTATGCCACAGACTATAATGTGTAAAGATCTACACTTTGCAGCTCAACGGCAGATTTACTATATGAATATGTTTACCTTTACAACACAAAACAAACACAAAAAAGAGTGCTCCCTACCTGTCCATGAATTTGTGTTCCATCCATGAAACAGTATGTCTGACAGTTCAGTCACTGTCGTAAAGTACATCTGTTTAAGAGACAGGTACACAGACAAACGATATTTTAGTTTAACTGAAATTAAGAACATCTGCTACAGGAAAAGATAGTAAGGGCCATTTTACGTCACTGGCACTTTTCTGGTGTGGGTTCCAGGGCCCCTTGTAAGGAAAACCCAAATATACCCACTGCCTCTACTGCCTTCTAACCCTTAAAGGATCATAGGCCCTCAAGCTACTCACACCAAGTCATTCTATCCTTCATTACCGCATGCAGCTCTCCCCATTTCCACCCCATCTTTTTAACTTTCCCCTCTAGCTCCATGTTTTTCAGTCTACCTTTATTTCTATGTTTTTGTGGGTTCCAGTGCAAGGACATTCAGTTGTTTTACACTGCTGATAACAATATTATTTTTTAAATGGTGACAGGCAAACGTGCAAGAAACTGGCAAAAGTATAAATGGGATGAAAAAGTAAACTTGAAGTAGAATATCTTTGTTTTTTTAGTCACCCTGGTATCTTTTTTTTTTAAAGCTCATGTCATGTGGCATTGTTGTTCATGCCTGTCCATGGTTATCTAACTAATATGCTATCAATCTTTTTTTAACACAAGTGTTTGCAATGACTCTCTTTGGCTCTAATCATGCAGTCTGCTCTGTCACATTGACAGACAGGTCAACATAGCAAGCCTGATCAGGAACAAACAAATGTTGAGAAACACAGGACAGCTGATCATGACTCCGTTTATTCTCCAGCGATGTCCTCTCGATCAAAAAAATGCACCAGAGTTGTATCATCTAGTAAAATAGATATGTTTACACGCATCTACTTACTTACATTAACTATGCAGAATTCTCACTGCAAATACATCTCTCGCTTGCATTTCATGGTTTCCAAATCAGCCTTCATAAACTGCACAGCACAGCTGACATTCTCACCTCTATTCTGTGTTGTCACGGATTGATTAGCCAGGTTTTTTAAGCTAGTGGCTTGAATACATTCACTCATTCTTCTCAGGATAAGTTCAGCTCAGGCACTTCAACCACCACAAGACCAGATCGAGGACTTAAACTGCTAATTTGTTTCAAGTTTAAATAATCTGTTTCCTTCTTAGGTTCTTAAACTTTCCACTCATGATTCATATGGCCCATTTTCAGCCAACGTGTACACTTGTCTTAAGTTATTCATTACTTGATGCATACATTATACTTTGTACTTGATACTATTCAAATGAATTCAAGCACATAATTTATGTTTAGTATTTAACCTCATTTACAAATGAGAACATTCATTAGCAATGAGAAAATGATTCAGTCCAATGTCCTTCCGTGGCAAGATGTCAGACTGTCCAACACGCTCTTTCTTGGCAAATCTTTGCCTCCAATTCTCTCATTGTCATGGCATGCTCCAGAATTCCTTTCTCACAATGTACCATCATTCCCTTTGTTATGACATACTTTTCCTCTTCTCACAATGTGTCGAAATTATCATCCTATAAACCTGACATTATTTTTTTTTTTAAACTTGCCAATGTCTAAAAGTAAATTATTTAAAACAAATCAAATTACTATGAATCCTTTAAAGATATACTCACACCCATCATTTTGATGATCTAGCAGTTAAACACAATTCTTCTGGAAACTTTACTGGAGGAAAAAAAAAAGGAAAGTTTTGCAAGTAATGGTCTCACATAGAGGTAAAAGTCATCCTTTGGCAATCACTGTCATTAGTAGGCAACCATAAAAGTTGTCCTTTGGCAATTACTGTCAGTAAAAGACCACCCAAAAAGTAGTCCTTTAGCAAATACTGTCAGTAATAGGCCACCATAAAAGTAGTCCTTTAGCAATTACTGTCAGTAGAAGGCCACCATAAAAGTAGTCTTCTGGCAATTACTGTCAGTAGTAAAGTAAAGTAAAGTTCCCTTTTCACGCCTTTCGGCGCATCGGGCATATGGGCAGAGCGTCCCATATTTTTACAGACCATCAGCACTCTGTGGGTAATGCGGTCAGCATTACGCCGGCTGTCTTTACTTTCCCAGGACAGCCCATCCTGGTACCCATTTTAGGCTGGGTTGACCTGCGACGTTCCATAGTAGGCCACCATAAAAGTCATCCTTTGGCAATTACTTTCAGTAGTAGGCCACCACAAAAGTAGTCTTCTGGCAATTACTGTCAGTAGTAGGCCACCATAAAAGTCGTCCTTTGGCAATTACTTTCAGTAGTAGGCCACCACAAAAGTAGTCTTCTGGCAATTACTGTCAGTAGTAGGCCACCATAAAAGTAGTCCTCTGGCAATAACTGTCAGTAGTAGGCCACCATAAAAGTCGTCCTTTGGCAATTACTGTCAGTAGTAGGCCACCATAAAAGTCGTCCTCTGGCAATTACTGTCAGTAGTAGGCCACCAAAAAAGTAGTCCTCTGGCAATTACTGTCAGTAGTAGGCCACCATAAAAGTAGTCCTTTGGCAATTACTGTCAGGAGTAGGTAATCGCCAGTCCCTGGGGACCATGGAGTTGTGCCGCTGGTTGTGGGAACAGCATCTGCTGTAAGTGTAAAATCCAGTGCGGGAGCGGCAGTCTCTGCCACATAGTCCACACAAAAGCGTTAATACTCTATCCTTCTGAGGCTGGTTTTCTCTCAGATGTCACCACTCTGTAGCTTGCTGTGTTTGGCTTATTTCAAACTGTTACAGTCCATCTTTCACTGTCTGTATCCAAAGGAATCGGTGTCCAGCTGATCTCTCCCAAGTATCTGTGTAAATTCTCATATCTTTCAGTTTGCATTTGCTTACATCTTTACAGCACGACACTGGTCTTCCTGCATATCATATACCTGTTTCCAGTTCACCTTACAGAAGATCCTTTGGAATGCGATCGCTCTCCATGTGAGAAACATGTCCCAACCTATACAGGTGTCTTGACTTCAGCCGAAAGTACATTTTTAGCATTACTGATCTTTTGAGTACATATTCGCTGGATGTAAAGTCTCGCCATGATATACCAAGAATACATTTCATACAGCGTATTTGGAAATTATTTAATCTTTTTTTCTTGAAGAGCTCCTAGAAATCATGTTTCACTGCAGTAAACGACCGTGCTCAGGATACAAGCTTCATAAACTTTTATTTCTGTCCTATCCGTGAGGTTTTTGTTTGACCACAATTGTTTTGAGTTTGGAAAGCACTGCAGAAGCCTTTTCTATTCTTCTGCTTAGTTCTGCATCTAGGGAAAGATCATCTGTGATTCAAGAGTCTAGGCACAACTCATGTACAACCAGCAGCTCTTGTTTGTAAACATTAATGCTAGGTGGGTTTACCACATTGATCCCCATCACTGGCATTTTGTTGAGACTGATGATGAGTCCAAATTCTTTGCATACACTTGCAAAGCAATTCATGAGAATCTGCATATCAGTAGGGTGTGCCTTCACATACAAGGTGAGGTGGCATATCCCTCTACCCAATGCCCTTCCTTCTAAGAAAACTCTCCAACACCCATTTTGATGAGGCTCGGTTGATCATATAGATGTACTGTGTGGAAACAAAATAATCCTGCCTCTGCTGAGAAATGAACCCGACCACCGTCTTGACAAACATACCACACTATTATACCAAGTGAATATTACATACATGTCAAAACATCTTATAAATGTCAAAAACTTGATAATGTTATACGCTTCCCTTCCACCTCGAAAATGACCTTGGCTTCCAGGTTGAGTCAACTTTAAAATGGGTACGAGGAAATGACCTGGGCAACACAGGTGGCCAGCTTGATATTGACCACATTATCCATCATGCACGAATTGGTTTATACAAATCTGGGTCGAGCAGCATATGCCCACAGCAGTGAAAAGTGTCCATAACTTTCTACCAGTGTTGAGTCCTACTGAACCTAACAATGTGTTATACCTTTTAATAATACAAGAATGGATACATGTCTATACTGATGGATCAGCATTTAAAGCTACCATTAAAGCAGGTTACGGAATCTACATAGGTTATCCCGATGGATCTGTTGAAGAGATTTTTGATGCATGCGGGGAATTCTGTTCAAACTATGAAGCTGAAATAATTGCACTGGAAACAGCCGTATACCACCTAAAGACTGTAATGGATGTTTACCCCTCAAAGGTCCAAAATATTGTCATCTTCACAGATTCAATGTCTGCCCTTCAAGCTCTGGAGGGCAATGAACGCTGCAGAACTGACATAGCCAAGATAATCCTGGATGCCGATCAGCTTATTACCTCATACAACATCAGAATAGTGATGCAGTGGATTCCAGGTCACTCCGGCACACCAGGTAATGACAGAGCTGACAGATTGGCAAAGAAAGGAGCAACACAAGAACAACCACCTACAGCGACAACCCTCCAGACAGCAAAAACACTGATAAGAGCTATAAACAAAGAGACTTGGTTGAACAGATGGGCCATGGGAGACACTGGAAGAGAGGTTTATAGACATATGTCTGGCCCTGATCCTAATGACAGCATTAACCATCTAACAAGAAGGGACCAGGCCACCATCTTCAGACTTAGAACGCAACATACTCCACTCAATGGACACCTAAACAGAATACAGCCACAACACTCCCCAGAGTGCCAGCTATGTAACTACCCCTACGAAACTGTTGAACACCATCTCTTTGAGTGCCCAAAACTCAGTGAGACAAGAAGAACGCTACTCCCTCCGAGACCAGACAAGTGGAACACCTTGTACGGAGGAAAAGAACAGCTTGTGAAAACATGCAAATTCCACTACATGGCATTGGGCCAAAGGGCGAAAGCTCATGCGCCGCTGGATTGATAACAACAATACCTTTTAATATTACATCTTAGTGTGTCAGGGGATGTGTAAGCACGTCATTTTAGAGCACAGTGCTGTGTGTACAGTGATTACATCCAGTAGAAGGAGGGAAGAAAAGCTGTGTCTTAAACACTTTGGTGGTTATCTGAGACTCCATTCAATGGGTTATTGTAATAAGAGACTCCACTCAATGATTTATTGTTATTTGAGTCTCCATTCAACGAGTT